TCTTAAATAAAAAATAAATTTTTTTAATACTAGAGAGTTTTTCATTTAAAAATATTTTTTTATACACCTATACATATATAGAATGTGTTTCTTGGGATGCTTTTTCTCTACCAGCCACCAAATCCATCTTTGGTTTCTTCTCCGCATGAAGCATGAACAGATGAACTCCGTTCTTTTCTTCATATTAGCACTACTTCCTCTCCTCTGTTATGTCATTAGCATCATCCACTCTCCTTTATTCCCCACTCAAAATTCCGATCATCGGGAGAAACTCGAAGCCCTTCTGATTCCGGGCGCAATAGGACCGGAAAGTATTGCGTTCGACTTACTCGGTGATGGTCCCTATGTTGGGATATCAGATGGCCGGATCATCAAGTGGAGCCACCATAAACGGCAGTGGACTAATTTTTCCACCACTTCCCACCACAGGTACTCAAGCCTCTTGCTTTTTGTCTCATTCAGCAACATCAATTCCAATCCATGTCTGGTATTTTTTTTTCTTTTTTTGGCCTCCACCTTGCCTGGTATTCAGTTTCGATTTCCTTCTGTCAAAAAGTTTATAAGACTGAACTTGTTTTAGAAGACTAAACACCTACTGCAGCAGTTTCTGAATCCTTTTCAATGTTTTAGCTTAGAATTCAAAAATATGTTGTGCAGTCTGTCTGCCACCATCTAATGGCTTTTGCAGTTTTTTTTTTTTTTTTAAAAAAATTGTTTCTAAACTAAACTATAATAAATTACATAATTAATAAACTATTTATTGAATTTAACATATATAGAGTTCTAAGGTGATGGTAGCGCATATACTTAAGAATTGTAGTCTCCATCGTTTAAATAATTAAATCAATATATATTGTATAAATAATGATATATAGATTTTTTAATATATTTTTTTTATAATTTTCATACATTGTTAAACCAATAAATATATATAATATTACATCTCCCAATAAAGTGAAAAGATTCAACCATTTAATAATATATAAGGTTTTATGTAAACATTGTAATAAAAATTATCTCTTAATATTATAGATAAAATGGACTTTAAATAAACAAATTAATTATATTATAACACATTATAATTTTATATGTTTTTAAAATATTATATAATATATTAAAATATTTTCTTTTTATATATACATATGAAAATTTATTTTAAAATATAATCTATATTAAATTATAAAATATAAACTCTTAAATAAAAAATAAACTTTTTTTAACACTAGAGAGTTTTTCATTTAAAAAATTTTTATTTTATAATT